AGCAGTGCCTGGGCACTACCCAACACAGGCTGAAGCCCTGCCAGGAAGCCCCCCAACCACCTCATCCTCCTGTGGGATGCTGAATCCCAGATCTGACTGCCCCATTATGCCAGCACAGCCTCTGGTGCCAGCTGGTAAGAAGAGTTGCACTCACTGGATCTCTTTGCACCTTCTTGCTGGTCTGCACTGCTCTGCCATCTCTCTGACATTTTTAGTGAGCTTCTTTGAACCCGAGACTACACCTTTGTCCCATGCTCATACGGTGCCTAACACAGGCCAGTCCGTATTTGGGAGCAGGGCTCCAGAAGCTGCATCGAAGTAGGTTTAATGGGGAAGCATAACCCATACATGGTACGTAAAGCTCTCAGAGAGTAAAATATGAGAGGGCCTACATGCACTATGGAGTGGTCTCAACCCATGCTTCCATCTGTGCACTTGCCCCATCATAAATGTGTGCCTTGATCATGAAACTTGACTATTCCCACCACTTAAAGCCTAGACCAATTTTAGGGAACCATCGTTTCTTAAAAATAAGCCAGTAATGCAAATCTAGGAAAGGGAGAGGACACACCATGAAACGTCCAGAGGTCACACAGAAAACAAGCAGAACTGTCCCTGATTGCCATTTTCTTCAAAAAGAAGCCCTGAAGCCAACACTGGATGCATAAAAAATTAAAATTGCTTCTGGTCTTTTTTACCATGTGCTGCTCTCATGTATCAAACAGGCCACAGGGACCTCTCAGACCTATTCCATTTTCATGAGACAAAACACTGTTCATGTGCTTCTCCACCTGGATCAAATGCTAGCTCTTCACCCCTTGTTTCAGAAACACACCACCTCTAGTGTCCATTGAAGAGGAAGCAAAAAATGTCCTTGTGTCAGATTTTTGGTCTCTCACTATTTTTCGAGATGAGTCAATTATCCCTTTCCCCCTCCTTGTATGACTGAAATTACTAAACTAAAGCTGTACAAGGGGCAAGAGGAAAAAAAGAATGAAATGGCCAATGATTAAACCCAGTTTGGTAAGTTTGTGTTAAAGCTGTGATCTCTGTACTCTTGCTGTAAAAGTTAACAAAATCAGAAGAAAGTAAAGCAACAGCTTTGCCAACATCACCAGGATCCAACGTACTCCTTCTGGGCACTATGTTTCAACTCTCCATAATTCCAACAATTTTGGCTTTGCTTACCAATAAAGATTTACTGGTGCTTATTTATATTTACCAAGGAGGGAACAGAAACCACAGAACATTGCAGCCAACTTGCTAACCTCCTTGTTCAGAGACTTACAAAAATAAAGACACATTTCCAGAGTAGTACTCGCATTTGTAACATTCTCAGTCCCTCTCTGCCATACCCACAGACCCTCTGCCTTTAAAACATGTACTGAATCCCTTAAAACTAAGCTTCCATGACCCTGTGTATAATCCTATAGAAAGCGTGTAACATCTTTGTTAAACCACAAATCTAAATTTCAGTTCAGGAAAATTATAGCATGCCTTCTGTTTTTTTAGCGTATTCAAGTCGTGAATATTAATACAACCACTGAAAAGAAACAGACCTAATTACAAAAGAAATTGTGACCTAATTTTCTCTATTTATTTCTTATCAAGAAGTTTTCAGATACTGTTTGTGCCATTTGAGGCCGCCTGCAAATCCTGCAGATATTTTTCTCCATTCATATATTGAAATGTGTAGCTGGCAGCTTTGTGCCACTAAGTCTTGAAAAATTTGTTTAAACAGACATATGTGTACAACTAAAATAGAAGCAAAACAAAGTCTCAATAATCACAAGGATTTAACCTCTTTGTTAAAATGTTGGATGTCAGCTACACTAAATACTATAGTATTATTACAGAGATGTAAAATCATTCCATACAGTCTTCCAAATATCCAACTTGTATTTCAGACACAGATACCAAGAGGGAAAAAGTCTCCAGCTGTCTAGAACTTGAAATTCTCTCATTTGTACTGTCATTTAACATAAGACAAAATTTAAGACCAGACTTTAACTGTTTCCAAATGTTTTTGTGTATGTTTCTGCTGAAACCTTTAACCATTATCTAGCACCAGCATTCTTAAACAGCAAATACACCCACTGCGTTCCTTTAATTTTGTGTTCAGACATTTTTCTGTTGAATGCTTGGTATCATACATTAATCATGGTAATATATGATAAATACTTAAATGACTTTGAGAGCAAAAGGATCTTGGGCAAATTGCAAGTACAAATTATTTTAAGCATGGATACACAGAAAATTCTTAATCCTGTGGGGAAATTACTGCACATAGTGCAGTAGCAAAACCAGACTCAGATTATAATTTTAACTGTAAATCTCTGAAGAAACTATTCATCCTTTGAAACAATCTCACAAAAACTAAGTACGAGCTTTACCAAGGAAAAAATTCTCCACGCACAGTAGAAACCTGAACCGAAGTACATGTGGGAAATGCAGAATACTGCACTGAAACAAAACAGAAGGGGCTTAAAAGTCTTCTCTCTAATCCTAGTACGTGTTAGGCTTTTTTTCTGGAAAAGACATAACACAATACAAAAAGTAACTTAGTTTAAGCATTACTTTCTTTGAGTCCTGCAAATGAACACAACCTCCCATGGGACTTGCAAGTGGCCGAGGAGCATAACACTCCGATGTGGTAACTCAGATAACACTCCAAGCACTTTGCAAGCCCAGGTGAGCTGATGTCTCAGTTTGACCCTCTGACTTAAGCTTTCTCTCTCAGAAAGAAAATGGTTTATTTTGGGTGAGCTGCAGGAAAGGGTAAACATCTATTTTGAAGGAGAATTTGGCAACAAAAATGAAAAATTAAGAATTTTAGTCCTTGTTCTAGGTTGCTTTATTTTTCCATTTAAAGATAACTGGAGCATTATAGTTAATAGAGGGACCTATGAAATAACTTACTACTTAGGCATTTTACCTTTTAAAGTCATTAAGCCTATATGTTATGGTGCAATTTACAATAAAGAAAAAAACACCCCCGGTGATATATCAATAATTTATTGTTTTGCATAAGAAGGTAAGATCAGATTTCAGGTAAGACATCAACCAAGGACCTGATGGCAAATTCAAGTATAGAGCTTGGTACAATATTATAACATACTACCATTTGTTTGACTATGGCAAACAGCTAAAACACAATTAAAACATCTGGAATTGACTGTCAAAACATACGGTTCTCTAAAAACCCACACAGCACAACTTGAATATGTGGAATATTGGAAACATGTTTAGTCGTCTTCATTCCCAAATTCTTAGGAGTCAAAGGAACAATCCCCCCTCACCCCCTGGTATCCCAGAACAATTCAGCACATGGGCTCAGGCTCCATCATGATAAGCAGGTTCTTGTCCTGTTGAAACTGTTGGGCTAAGACTTTTTTTCTGCGTTGACCTACTGTCATCTCTGCCTGCCTCATGGAGGCCAGTGGCTTTGATTTTTTTAATTTTTTTTTTTTTTTAAGCTAACACTGCAATAATGTTGATTTTCAAGACCAATCTAGTAATTTAATTAAAACTATTTCTCAGTCCTCAAAGACTCTGTGCACATTTTACTCTGTTGGTTGGATTTATGTTTTTGTGATTCCCTTTCTTTTGCAGGTGTTACAATTCAGGAATTATCTCCTGGCTTGGGGACGGGGCAGGCAGCCATCCGTCTAGGAAATTCCTGCCAGGCCTGTGCTGAAGATCAGAGGGTCAGTGTCTCTGAAAAGGCAGCAAAGCACCGCGCTGCTAACTGCTGCCCAGCACAGCAAGCCTGTGTAGAAGGTCCTCCTAGACCACACTGACCCAGGGATGGGAATTAAATTAATTTCAAAAGGACAAGAAGAACAGCCTGCAGGACAGCCAGAACTGTTTCTGCCAGGGAGTTTGCAGATTACTCTAGCATCTATTTCTTAAAGAGAAAAGCAGGTCCCTTATGTGAGTGTTATTGTACACTAATGTTCTGAGACAGCCCAGGTTAGAAGCAGTGTTAAGAGCGTTTCAAGTAAGGACTAAAGACCCTCTTGTTGGAAACAGCCAGATCCTGAGAGATGCCGAGTGCCCTCTCAGTTTGGGGTTGGTTGCAAGTGATGTCGAGGGCACTCAGCGTCTTGCAGGCAAAGGCAAACAGACCTGCCGAATTCCAGATCCCCTGAAAAATGGTTTGATTTTCAGTAATTAAAAAAAATAGAAAACATTTTCTTAACTTGCATAATCTCCGTGCAATTAATTTAATCAACAAATTTCTATTTATGTTACAAAAAAGTTTAAGTCCACCAGGAAAATGGTGAAATTTGACAAAAGGTACATTATAGCTGTTCAAGCAGAGCGTGTATCCGTGCTGGGATTCAGTACGTCTGTAACTCTTGCATAAACATTTCCAGACTCCTAGGGATTTTGCTGTTGTTGCTTGCATTTCATTTGTTTTATACGAATCTAAGCCAAATGCAATGACCCACACATTAAATACGCATTTAGAATAAGACTGCAAAATCTGATGGCTTTATCAGCGTATGAACTGAAATAAAATATTTACATGGAATGTTGAGCTCCATTTACAGAGACAGTGTTTCAAATTACAGACTTAGTAATTGCTTTAGTAAATGATCACATTGACAAGAAATTTAAAAACTTAACATCCATTTTCAACCCTTTCATAAATATATAAAGTTTCACTAAATTCTTTTTTCTTTAAACAAGACAGCTGTATTCTCTTTACAGATTAACATGAAATATCTGTTTCCTGTCTGAATGCCACAGATGGGATGATCCGAAGTCAGCAAGTTCCTATACACATTCTGTACTTACAAAACATATTCACAACACAACACACAGGTGTTACTTGGTCTTTACAGCTGCACTCATTTCCTGCATATCAGTAGTAAATAAAGAAAAATACCAAATTATCTATATTAAAAATACATCATCTAATATACATTTGCTTACACTGCCATATCAAATTTTAAAATGAGGTTTCCAACTGTGTCTGACCAGTGACAAGGATATTTTTTACAGTGAAGTCTACAGCATTAATTTATTTTTGAGTGTAGATAAAATATCTGTTATACTACTAAAAAGTGTCACTACATACTAGACAATAAAAAGAATAAATCTCTTGCAACTGCTTTCCAGATCTCCAAGGTTTCCTCACTAATTGTTTGAAAATTTCTGATGGGAAAATTGTTCTAAAGGACGCCAAAAATGTTTGAAATCAATTTAAAGTTAAAAAAAAAAAGGTTACTCTCTACTTTGTTGCTATTCATATCACTTTGCCACTGATTTTACAGAAGACTAATCCCAAAGACTTCGAAGTTATATACATAGTAACTCACATTTTTCCCTATTTAAATAAATATTCCCGTGAGTTTTCTTTGTTGTGCCACAAAGCATGCATGAAAATATTTTCAATCCATGCATGCTCACAGCGGAGTATTTCACAACTAAGCCACTGAATACATCTTTCTTTCCATGACTATGTAAGTGCAAAGGAATCCTAAAATCACTCTGTACATATAAGACAAGGTTCACATCTAGAAAAGTAAAACCACTTGATACGTAATTAAAACTATGATGTCTTCCTCATAAAAATGTTGGTCACTTTTGCCTGTTTCAGTTCTCTCAAGCACTTCAGGGGTAATAACTTCCAAGTGCTGATGTGCTCTCTATGGGAGCAGTTATGCTCAAAACCATCAAAGTGCTGATCTCCAGTATTAATTAGTATCTTCTGCAAACTCTCCATTAAAAAGCTTACCTTGGAAATATACAAATGATGCTAAAGAGGTGTTTGGCAGTTTTGTTACACTAGCATTAGCTCACTTTATGGAGCATAGTAAGACTTCGGTTTAATCTGACTGTTCTGCCCCCAAATTGTGGGCAGGAGGATTGAAGACACAGGAAAACAAGACCAGTTCCAAGTGCATGAAGAGTGTACCTGCTGCACAGGTAGAGTGAGAAAGCCCTCCTACCAAGAAAACGGCCATCGAGTAATGCTTAACCATGACCCATATTTAGACGCTGAGACAACAGCAGATGTTTTGTCCATTTAAAACATTACTATGAATGTAGCCAGCTGACGGGAACCCAGAAGGTCTCGGTCTCCAACCTGTCAAAAGTTGTTTTAAGCTCACTGTAAGCTGTAGCGAGGTCATCGTTGACTATCACCTTATCAAAAAGGTGGCCGTACTGGCTCTCCATCAGATGGGCAGATTTAATCATTTCTTGAAAATCTTCTTCCTAGTAAGGTCAGTGCAAGACATAGTCAGTCTATAGAAACATCACAAACTCATTCTGAGGTAAAAGCAAAGCTGCTTGCTTATTTCTCATCTCATCGGGAGATGGAAACTGTACTTTTTATTAAAAAAAGATTATAGAAATTGCCATTTCAAATGATCTTGGAGAACATTCTCACAAGTAGACTTTGCTCAACGGGCAATTCTTTCATCTCTCCCCTTGCAGTGACACAATTAGTTACTGCATGGTAATTACAGAGACATCTTCTGTTAGCAGTACCAGTGGAAAATGTTTCTTGCTGTTTACTTTGATGATACATTTAAAGTTTCATTACTTAAGACTCAGCTTGCTATTAGCATGCGATACGTTACAGTGCAGCCTTTATTCTTTTAAGAGCTTGGTAGGAGCTGTCTTCCTATGCCTGGTTCAACCTGGCTCAGTGGATTTCTTTTCATGTTTGGGGAGGGAACAAATCTTACGAACTTAATTGATTACATAACTCTGAGAGATTAAACCTGTCCTAACTAAGCAATGTCCTGAAGGGTGCTCTTAAGAATGAACTCCTCTTATCTTTTATATACCATAGAAAGTATTCTTATAGAGCATTATTTCCAAACTATTTCAAATGCATATTCTACACAGATACGGTTTGTGACTATATCCATGACTCAGTTTGAAACAAAATCTAAAGAATCCTAAATAACATCTGAATGAGGGAAAATTATGCACGCTGTAAATGCAGATAAAAAAGTCTAACCATGATCAGCTTTGCTTTAGCTTCAATTAAAATATGATTTTATTATATTTCAAGGAAGTAAATAAGTTACTGTTGGGTAACATGACTAATATTTTTTTCTGATTACTGAAAAAAGCAGCATTTGTTACTTGCTTAGATCTTTCTCTTTCTTTCTTACAGTGTTCATTTCCCTATAACATTTTAAAAATGTTTCTCTTATCCACAAATATGGGCTTTTTAAAGCAGCATTTATTTTTTTAATTGATGCGTTATATTTGAGCTTTCCTCTAAATTTAGACCCAATAGTACACTTAATAAAACAAGGAAATTCTTATACTTGAATAGAAACATCTAAGACCACATGCAAATTTTTTAAAGGAAACCCACAGCATTATTTCTCATAAAAATGTACTTGCATTGTGGGGGTTCCTTGATGACATAAAATCAAACAGAACACAACGGAAATGTAAATATCCATGAGCATGTCAAACAATGAAAACATCACAGCAAGTTTAGGATGTGAGAGGGGTTGGGAAACAACACATATACTGTGTGTAAGCCCTGACAAGTACTGTGGATGAGATCCAGTGATAACCTTTATTTTCAAGGTAAGCCACCACAACAAAACTCTTAACAAGTTCTCATGTTTTATCATGTCTAAATATACTTACTGTAAAGGGTTTTGCTGTTCCCTTATCATCTTTACTTGAAATAATCTTGGCATTTTTTCTGGTCTCTCTCAAACGGTCAAGTGACGGAGGCTTTATAAATATAACAAATGGTTTAAACTCATATGTACGTAAGTGTTTCACTGTCTGGGAAGAGGAAAGAGTTTAATTAATTAGCTTATTTTGCACAATGGAATTTACTGTAATAAAAGAAACTCTCTGCTAACCAAAATAAACCCATAAAGCACTCCTAGAAGGCTATTTTTCATTTACTGCCATCCCACTCTGCTGATCAGTATTGATTCATGTAAGGAGAATTTTCTGTGAACGGTAAGAAAACCATTTCTCCAAGGGTGACCATTTCCCTTGATTTCCACACGGGCTGCTGGTAAACCCCATCAGTCCAGGAACAGCTGGGCTGTGCACACCAGTGCCGCTGGCAGCGGGAGGATCGAGGGGAGCAGCAGGGCGTTCGGGAGAGGAGGAAAAGTTCAACAAATTTTAGCAGGAATAACACTTTCTCTACTGATGAAAAGTAGTGGGAAAAGGTGTCTGTGTCACCCAGTCACTAGAAGTCAGTGATCTTTCTCTTCAGTACTGTGTGTCCACCACACAATCCCCTGCTGTTTGCTCTTCCTGAGCGAGTCGAGCGATGCTACGTATGGAGTTAGAGATAGGTCTGCGATTCGGATTGCAGCCCAGACTGAAGCAGGGATGGCCAGCAGCTTCGGGTGAAGTCGGGATGGCCAGAAGCTTTCTGTCCTCTTCACACTGCTACGGCCCACAGGAAAACGCCGTGTTGGAGGGTGGGATCCCAGAATGGTTCAGCAGCCTGGGTCCCCAAGAGAATTTAGTGCTTCACTGGAAAACAGGGCAGAGTGGGACCCCCTGCCCAGCTCCCCTCCTCCCCTGGCACGGGGTCTGGCTTCCCCCTTCGCTCCTCTGCCAGTGCAGCCCCCCTGCCCCACTCCTAGGGCACAGCTCCGTGTCCAAAACCATCCCGGGAACTGTTCAGAAGCTGCCGGGGTTCAGAAGTCACAGGCTGGCCACCCGTGGAGAAGAAATACTTTGGCTGGATTCAAACAAACTAGTCCAGCTCCTGGAAGCACCGTGGTTATTAGTAGCATAAAAATTCCCAGTGGAGCTGTTCAGTGGGGTTGAAAGACAAGTTCAATGCAAGAACAAATGGTTTAAAGAGGAATGTTCTTAACAACCATCAAGCCAACATCACATTTAGTGCATTCCTTGACTCATGTCCACCCTGCATGTAAACCCTTGGCATAATTGGTCTGGTTAAGCGTGTGAGAGAGAGTTGCTGGACTGGGTGATAGCTCAAAGCCATTCTGAAACTGAAGTTTCAGAGAAAACCTCTAACCCAAACCAGCAGGAAGATGAATGGAAATACAGGAGCATTTTGTAATTAAATCTTTGGTATTATGCTGCAGGCTTTCAATTCACTTAATTACTGAGCTGAATACTTGCCAATATATATTGAGGTTTCCTTCCTCTCCTTTCCGAGAGTGTTGCTGTGATAAAGGTACCCAGCAAGCCCACTCAACAGTCATTCAGTGTGGAATAAAATATACCTTTTTAGAAACAACTTTTTTCCTGGAATCCCAACATGCAATATGGGGAACTACAAGAGTCCAAGAGACATGCTTACTTACATGAGGCTGCACATCCAACAAACAAACTTTGTTTTTAGCTAGAACGGATCGAACGGAGTCTAAACTTGTACCATAGTAGTTGTTCTTATACTCGCCATACTCGATAAACCTGTGGCAGAAGGTGAAAACAACTGGAATCTTTTCCATTTTCTGCAGAAAAAAACTTATCAGTTTGGTTCATAAGATCTAATTCAGGAGCAAAAATATTTTACTTTACATGAGAGTTTTACCATGTTTTATAAAGGAAATGCTGTCAAGTACTTCAGCATGTCAATTTTAAGAAATCTTCTACTTTACCACTTTCAAATCAGTAACACCTGCTTGTATTACAGTTAAAGAGAAAAAAGTACTGTAGTCCAACAGCCCGCTAATGTTTTCCATCACCTCTTTTTCTGAACTAATGCAATGCAATAAAACAGTGGATAAGCTAAACAATAGAAACTACTGAAATTTCATTGCACACTACAGAATATCCAAATTCTCTGTCTCAGAAGAGGAGGAGGAGCGACGATGGTGCTAATGGAACCAAGGCGGCTGGTTATGTGCTATAAAAGTACAAGTGCTATTTGCCAAAAAAGCAAAGCACCGTTTGAAGTTTCAATAAAACCCACAGCTTTGTGTCTAATACACTTTTGCCCTCTGAAACACTGGGGCAGAATTTCAAGCTACGGTACTTTACAGGCTGCTAGAGAGCACGATGCTACCATTGTCTTCATTTTAGTTTAATTTCTGGTGGGTTTACAGGCAGGGGCTTCACTGTAGATCTCTAAATTCAAAAGCAGAGGAAGTGCCTGGCCTGAAAGAGAGCAGAACTACGCAAACACTGACTCAGGCACATTTGCAGTACTTCCAGGGCCCCCCCTCCTCGAGCTGCAATGCTTTATTGCTACGACAAACGATGCTCTACTAAAAGAGTGCTCCCACATCCTGAACACTTACAATTTCAATGTCTTCTTGAGGAGCTGAAATACTGAAACTACTTGGAAGCTTAGTAACAGTTGTGTTTGCACATGCTGGTTTTTTGCTCTGTGTTTTTGCCAGCTGCTTATATATCAAAATGTAATTTTAACACATCTTCAAATCACTGCAACTTATATCCACTTTGACTAAATCGCTAAAATTACAAGCAGCCCCATTTTATAATAAAGCCATTGTTTTAACTGCAGTTCTAGTTAAAATCTCTTCGACATACTTGTTATTCTGTACGTCTGTCTCAAACAAGTGCTTGGAAATGAACATGTATTCGACACCGTCACTTTCTTGGCTTCTCCTTGGACGAGTAGTGTCTGCAGTTTCATTAAATGGAAAAAAAAAAAAAAAAAAGGAAAAGATACACAAAACAGCATAATGCAAACCAGTTCAAGAAACACTGAAAAGCACACAACCCTTGTGCAATACTAAGTGTACCAGTTCCTTCACTTCTGATGGACATAAGGCTGCTCTGGATCTGGTAGGCAGCACACAAGCAGATGACAGGATTAAGTTTTAAAAGCATGCAGGAAAAGCACAAAAAAACCTACTGGACAAGTATCAGATTATCATTTTATTAACTAGTGGAAAAATCCAATAAAATGAGGACAGTTGAATAATAAAAGGATCAGCAGTCCATAACAATCACCCAAGCCTTGCCACTTGTTAAACTTATTAGCATATGAGACCATAAAGGGAAACAAAGCTCACCAACCTGATTTATAAAATGTCACGTTCATTAACAACACTTGTAGCTATGCTATGTGAAGCATGATAATAAAAAAACGGGGTGTGAATTTTATGCTTTAGTGCTTTTCTTTTTCTGGTGATCAAAATCAAATTCCTTTTTCTTTCAGTAGCCTTATAGTATTTGTACTTCTTACTTTCCCTCAAGTACTAGGTATAAAGATTTTGCTTATAAATGAAACTTATTTGTGGGGTTGCCACTTACAGTTAATGAACCCATTCAAAAGTCCTACTTAATACAAGTCATATGTTACAGCATCATGTATTCTCCATAACATATAAACATACAGAACCTGCTTGCAGCAACACAGTCTTAAATGCCATTTGATATCACATTCTTCTTAGGTTGACACAAAGAGGAACATTTCCAAGACAAGAACCCCAGTTCTCCCTCCAAGTCCTGACTTACTGAATTTCAGGGAGGGGGATTTCTTTACGTGTTTGTTTTAAATTATAACCACAAATTTGGAAGAGAAAAGAGAGAAGGCAGCTTGATGAATACTGGCAATTTTTAGAGAAATATTTTTGGGCAAATGATTGCATATGCTTCAATGTGTTAAATATTTGGGAACATCTGGCGTTTTTTGTTGTTGTTTTCAATACCCAGCTGAAGCAAATATGTGCAAATGAAATGACTTGCCAAAACCAAACGTATTCATTTTTCTACCTAGCAAATTCATTCATATATATACTTTATAGAACACCTGTACTTGCAAAAAACGTGTGACAGTTTCTCCCAAATTCAGAACGTTGGACCCATATTTTTGAAGGATCCCTATAGGAGGCACAAGTGCAAGCAGAAAGTAAACCAAGGAATGAAAGTCTAAAACTGTCAAGTCCTCCACATTAAAGAAAACCCAATAAAGTGTTGCAGAAGTTAATATAGCACAATGTTACTCAATGTTATAAAAATCACATTACTTGCTCAGATAGGAGGAAAGAGGAAAAAAATCCCCAAATCAACTTTTCTAAAGCTAATCAAAGGGATTTAATTAATTTATTCACAGGATTAAACTGTTTATCATCAGTCTTCATTTTTCAGCCTGTCTAATATATAAAGGCCATTTTGCTGAAAGCAAGCATTGGTAACAGAGTACATTTCACTGCTTTACAGCCAAAGCCAGGGTGTTCTTCAGCTGAGTTTCATTTACTAAACCTCACTGACATCAATCATGTTAAACTTGTACTAAAAGTCTACTGCAATGCCTCTGAGCCAAAACGTCCTATCAGTTTAATCAATGCTATTTTAAAATACAACTGGAGCAGCACTTTTAAAAATTAGAAAATTAATTTGGATGCCAAGCATGCATTTAGAGACCCAGATTTGAAAGTGCCTTAGGGTAATGCAATAATAAGGGATAATAATGCAAGTATAGCATTAGGAGAATAGAAGTGTATTTTTACTTACGTGGCACTGTTACCCCATAATGCTGGGTGTCACTGATCAGCAATTTCCGTTTAAGTTCATTCAGTCCAACCCCTACAGGACCTGAAAGAAAAAAATCGTGCTCTTTCCCAGCCGCCAGTTCTGTCTCGTCTTCAGGTATAAGTACTCTCTGAGATAAGACTACGCAGCATATAGCTATAATATATACTGGCTTTTAATCAGAGTCATTTGGAAACACCCGTGGTTCTAGCCTCTCCTAGAATATACAGCGCTGACAAATTTCAGGAGATGTAGTTGGCAGCTACTCTGCTCTGACTTTATTGCTGAGGAAAAATCACTGAAAAAGCTGACCGCAAAGTTAACTTGCTTTTCTACAGCAACTGTCCGCAATACGCACCTATCTCCATCCTCAGCCCTAGTACAGACCCCTGCACCCTAACGTGCACCTTTCCAGCACAAAAAGTGGTTTGGCTATTCATTTTGCCAGAATATCCCCAACTCACAGACTGGAGGACCCCAGCTGGCATGCGCAAAGTCCCCCCAAAGCCTCTGCACTCCGTGTGTCAGCATGGTCTTGTCCTCGCCCCCTCCAGCTGTGGCATCCCTCGTCTGCGCCGGGCTCCCCGGAGGAACATTGCTCCCACCATCTCCCCACGCCCTGGGAGCACCGCTCCTTCCCGCCCGGCTGCAGGCAGGAATACCGCCTGGGCTCTGGCTGGCTGTAGCTGTCACCGTCCACCTTTTGACTGCGTGAGGGTGGCATCGCACGGGGAGAGGAAGGAAGGTAGGTCTCAGCCTGTTTGGGATGTTTGGGTTCGTTTCTTTGTTGTTGATTTTCTTTTAAACCATGCTTGACTCCTGCCTGATGTCTGAACGGGTCCAAGGGAGACCACTCTCTGAAAGGGGATGGCAGGAGGAAACAAAGACTGCATGGAATTTTTTGACCCATCTCCTCCACCTCCACTTGAGTACTGCTGTCCTAGAAGCTACTGAGCAGATGTTCCTCTTGGCTTTCAGGTTGTCCCTAACTCGGCCATTTGCCAGTGGTGCCTTAGGTCTTAGTGAGGGCATCCTGTCCCGTGAGGTCTCGAAGGCTCCGTGGGCAATCGCCTCCTGCCTCCAGGAGCCCTTCACGCAGGGCTCCAGCCTGCCTGGCCCTTTTTGGGTGTGGGGGTGTGTGAAGGGAGCTCAGCTCTGCATGCTCGTGTGTTTCTGACATGCAGCGCAGTGGCTTTCTTTCTGCAGAGCAGAACGTAGAGGGGACTGAGTCATTGGAACCACATCCCAAATAATACAAGGATAATACATGTGGTTTTAAGGAAAATTCTGCTCTTCCAGTGAAAGCGACACATTTATGCACGAAGTGCATCTTAACAGAGACATTTTAGACATCAGAAATACAAAACCTAATAAACATTTTAATGAAGTAGTGATATATTAGTTAATTACTAGCAAGAGTCAAAAAGCAAAGACTGATGCTTTAGCACCTTCAGGTGCCTATTTCTAAAAATGACTATCTGCCCTGTCTGAACTCAGAAACACGTAATGTTGAAAAGCAAATGCTTGCTACTTTGCTGCTACCCCCAGACTGTGGTCTCTCTGTAAAATCTTAGCATTTCTGCATTTATAATTTGTATATGTTTACATAAGTTAAACACACAACTACATTTCAAGTTCCATCTCTGACCTGCCTGTAAATTAATCCATCAGTATGTATAAATGTTTATTTAATATGGTGTACAGCAGCCTCTACTGGTGCATGTCTGCAGAGGAAAGCAATGTGCTATGTAGATAATGGCATTACTTTTGTTTTTATGTTTTTAAAAAAGCATTTTTCCTTTTTTAATAGTTTAGCTATTTAAGGCAAATATGGATTTTTATAGGAAAAGTAATTGAAATTCTCAATATGTCTTAGCAAAGTAGAATGAAACAAGTGGAATTCAAATTAAAAAAAAAAAATCATTGTATTCCTTTCAAGCAAATCTAAACATCTTTCCTATCTAAAAATCTTTCCCATCAAATCTAAACAAATATTATTTCCTTAGTCTACATGCTGTCAGATCAACAATATGCTTTTAGCTCTATTTATATGTAAAGAATCCAGGCTTTGCTTCTTGCAACAGATGCTCTGGAAACTTAGATCAAATCCATTTCCAGACCACAACCTCACTACTACTCTGTCTCCCCTTCCAGGTTACCATTTAAAAATAATCTTTAAATTTAACCACTGAAAGGTGTAGATTCTTCTTTTTCAGTGCTGTCTTCACAGAGTTGTCATAACTGTAGCATATGGACACTGAAGGCTGATTCCTAATTAGCAATGCCATCCATTATGCTGATTTTTACACTACATCTCCCAAGTGTAATGTACACTTCTATTCTGAATATTCTTTTCATTTTGATGCAGCAGAGAAAGATGCCAATTTCTAATAATTATGAATCTGAACAGAGTTTGAACTCAAGAAGAGAATAAAGCATCAGGATTGGAAAGGACAGTCCAGGTTCTTATAGTAAAATGCCAGGCATGTGGGATCCACGACTGTAGCATAGTTTCAGTTTACTATAAATCACCCCAGGCAGCAGTATTTAGAGTCATGGTGACAGATTTAGAGATATTTTGTTTATTTTTTTTAAAGGAACATTTATATTGCTTGCTGTTACACATTGAGTCACGTAAGCTAAGTAATGGTCGAATCCTGCACAAATGGAACTGTAGTGGCTACCTCACTTTATTGAGGGACACTTGCAGAATTAAACCACTGATCATTAAAACTCGCATTAAATTTTGTACCATTCAGACATGTCTGAAGAAAACTGAAAAAATTGTTTGATATAAGTTCAAGTCTCAGGAGGGTTAACCCAAGCAGCCATTCTTCACCCATAGATACATACTGAGCTCCTAGAAGTCTATTTGAAGGGGGGGGGGGGGGGGGGAACAACAAGGGGGTTTTGAGAGAAGTTTTTGGGAGTTAGGTGACAACATCCCTGCTGGGATCATAAAGACCCCGTAGAAAACATGCCTCGACAGAGGTTCTGTTATTAATTACTCATACAACTGATCACTATAATGCAATGACTGCACGTGCATGTCCAACTGTAGCTCAGTGAGATATGCGGTAGGAAAGTAGAACCTCATTTTTTTGTTACAGTAAATTATAACTAGCAGTGGGACTGTACTTTGAGATTTGCTGTTCACTGAAGCAGGATCAGTGACTTCATGCTGGTGTTCTCATGGGCAAGGCTAGGCAATATGTTACATCCTATGTATTCATTACTCAACCACGCTGACCTACCCATGCCTTCAACCAGGAAGGTTTAATGAAGATAGCAATTCTAGGTCTCTTTCTTCATTGTCAAACTTACTTCAAGTTTACTTGAAGTAGTATGGCCACAGTAGGCCATTTTCCTGCATTACAGCTGTAGATCTATTAAGTCTCTGCAAGCCACCACTGAACACATGTTAAAGGTAAGTCAGGAGATGTGGAGAGCTAGAAGCCACTTCCGTTTCATCCTCCCCTGCTCTGAGGCAGACCTGGCCTCCACATAGCTCGTTCATGATAAAACCAGAGGTGACGGATTTTTTTTTTAAAATGTAAGCAATATAACAATAGACAACTTTTCCAGTCCCAGATCCCTTTTCTTCGCAGTGGTGACCAGAAGGAGACTTTTGTGGGGAGTACTGACAGCCTAATTCAGAGACAGAGAGACTTTTCTGATTGTGTCACACACCAATAATAACTGCTCCTTCATGGTGACACACCTCTGGTCCTTGCTTCCACCACTGCTCACTTAGGAGAGATGCATCACCATGGGTGACCACAGCACGTGAAAGGCTTTGCATGCCTCTGGTGATAAGACTGCATGCACATAACTGCGTGCATTCTGGGGGACACATGCTCATGGTTTGTTACTGCTGACCTTGCTTTATCCTAGCACTGCCCCTTCAGAAAGCTCTCACTTAGCTGAAAATACGCTGTGTAAAATTATAGTACGCAGCACATCCATTCCGACTCTTAGGAAATAAAATTTGTGCTAGTCCAGCCCTCACAATTACTGAGGCAGAAGCCTTTGTGAGCAGGACTTTCCCCTCATTAATGTAAATGAAAATTCTAGTGTCTAAATAATACATTTCATATTAAAACATTCTGCCTTTGCCTGATAGGCCTGCAAGGTATCATGCTTAGGGTGCAGGCAATATTTGTGAAGGAAGACTTCAAGGATTTGTTGGCAGCCTGGGAACAATAAGTCACCAGAATATGACTGGTGACATGATATTGGATAATTTTGGTTTTAGCAGACTCATCACATTCATAACAGCTAAAAGCACAGTAGAAGCATCTGTATCATCACTGCTTCAGATGATCTGTTATTTTAGCCCCAAGGATACGCACGATTTTATTCATGAACCTACATTAGCAGACAAGGTAGAATCTGGACAAACCAATACACATAGCTGAAACTGGGACTAGTATATATCACACAGCAGGGTGCTAAAAATTACCCTGTGTGCAATTTGCATTCTGTAAATTAGACTAGACCAATTTAAAATGAAGCCAAAGAAATTTCCATTTCAAAGTTGTCAAACTCCCTCGCCCTTAAAAAGGGCAAAACAAAACCTAAAAACGCCTTCCAACACTAAATTATACATTTAGGCCTAATATAACACAACAGATATTTAGTGCCCCCACCAATTACAGCTATAAATTAATTATCTGTCCCTTTGTTTCCTAGTACTACTATCCAAATTATATTTGACGAATTATATTGAATGCTGCTACTGGCACACAAAAAGCTTTTTACATATGTTTGCTTCTACTATACCTGCATTGCTTAGCTCTGCTAGTTTTTCCACATTTTGCCCAAGACATTTTTATGGTATTGGCCAGACTTAAGCTGCTCTTAATATCCAGAGAAAAACATTAGAATTACTGAAGTCTGCAATAAATTTGTGAACTGCTTTTGTTACTGAAAAAGCACACTTTCTTCATTTGATTTATTACAACAAAAATCAAATGAAATCTCTAGGTATTCCTTAGATCAGACATATGCAATTTGTTATAAAAAGTCTACTTATCACACTTTTGCACTGCACTCTGTTGATGTAACTGTAAAATCAACTCAACCATGTTATTACTTGTTGTATGTAGCCCACAATCTCACAGTGATCACACTAGTAGGTGGCTGAATTTTAGTGCTGGAGAGTGACAAAACTGTTTATTAAAAACTAAATTTAATGTTCCCTTGGATATGAGTGATATAAAAACACAGCTACTCAACAGTTCATAACAGTCCCTGATAGAGGGTCATATTTCTCTGCTCTGCTGCTTTCAGAATGGAGGAAACTTTACTAATGAAGCATCAGCCTACGTGCTACTGCAAAAGAAACAATAAGCAATGAGACATTACCCATTGGTAGGAATGGTTACTCATTACTCATTGGTACTCCAGTGGTTACCTTTGAGAAACTTAAGATAATGTATTTTCTCTTTTTTTAGGAGACTGAAGCAATGCATTTTGATTAGATAATAAATGCTGTGGGGGGAAGCCATGGCAGTGACAGATTATAGAAGAACAGAAAGCTGACAAAGGGTGACATCTTGAGTCTTCTGCAGCTATGCTTACATCTGTTCCTGGCCTACAGAAATCCACCTCTCATCCACTTTTCTCTCTACTTGTCTTTTTAGTTATTCTAACACAGTAGATGATTTTGTTTCTTTTCACTTATATATTCTGTCTTCGCTGACCACAGTTATTTATTCTGCTCTCTTTTTTATTCATTTTTTTTCCATATAGGTATATTGATTGATCTCTAAGAGCGGAACAGCGACTTAATTCTTTTGAATTTTAGTACAGCTTGACTGCCAGGTTCAGGCTAGTAACCATGGTAGCTATATTTCAATGTTATCTCCCTTTGGTTTAGCAAGGCTTTAAACATGATCTCCTAAAGCATCCTTATATGCAAGTTGGGACATCCTGTCTAGATAGGTGGGCTACTAGATAGGTGAAAAACTGGATGGATGATCATGTTCAAGGGAAGGGGTTATTGGTCTGTACTCTACTGGGTGACTCATTACAAGTGGAGTTCCTCAGGTTTCTACCCTGGGACATATACCATTTCCTATCTCTGTCAATAACCTGGAGGAGGACACAGAATGGGACCTTATCAAGTTTGCAGATGCCAAAATGGGCGATGCAAGTGACTTGCTCAAGGGCAGGGCCTCCACTCAGAGGGACCTTGATATGGTACAGGCACGGGCTGGCAGAACTTTGTGAAATTTGATGAGGACAAATACAAAGTCCTGCCTATGGCATAGACTAAGCCCCACAGCAGTACAGGCTGGGGACTGACTGGCTGGGGAGCAGCCTGGACGAAAAGGACCGGGGGGTCCAGGTGGGCAGCGAGCTAAGCATGAGTCCACAGCGCACGCTGCCAGCAATGAAGGCTAACAGGGATGCATCAGCAGGAGCCTAGCCCGTAGACAGAGGGAAATGATTCTTCCCCTTTACTCAGCACTCGTTAGACCCTGTGAGGAATACTCTGTCCATGATGGGCCCCGCACTACAACAAAGATGTTGATAAACTGGAGCAAAGCCAGCGGAGAGCCTCCAAGATGGTCGGGAGAGGAAGCACATGACCTGTGAGGAGAGGCTGAGGGAACTGGGTTCATCTAGCTTGAAGAAGAGGTGTCTTCAGGGGGACCCACCAGCACCCTTCTGATACCCGTTGAGAAGATGGAGGCCACCTCTTTACTGAGGTGTGAGGTGGGAAGACGGGGTGGGAAGACAGGTTCCCAAAGTTGTTGTCATCAGCAGCCTGCTCTGAATTCAGTGTTAATCCTGCTGAGTGGGAGGCTGGACCAGATGACCTCCTGAGATCCCGTCCAATCTAAATGATTTTGTGGTAAGCACTGTGCTAATCAGCAGTCCTCTATTTTACCAGGTCAAAAATAAAGAAAACAACTTACCAACCAAAACTACAAGCCTGTATTTGTCATTAGGTTGTCGTCTATATTTTGCAACTTCTTCATATGTTGGGATATCTGCTGTATCATACTGATCACTCTTCTTGCACTCATACATAGATTTGTTTGTTTTTTTATCTTTTCTGCTAAGACGAAAGCTTCTTCTAAAACCAGCTGGAATAAGAACAGGATTTTTTCAAAGTAAGAAAATAAGTCTTTTCGAAACATTTGAAAACAGTCTCTTCCAAACATTGGAGGATTCGTGCATGGAATAAAAAATGTATTATATGTTTAATAAGCCAGGTCATTAGAATGATATTTTCCCGCAGTTTTAAACTATATCAGGTGCCTATTTCAACTGCAAAGTTAAGATTACCAATAAAAACATAACAGTTGCAACAAGCAGCTATAAAATATAATTACAATAAGTTGTTAACATATTTAGATAATTTGAGTATCTTATACATTAGTACACATACACAAGGAAATTCATGCAATCTGGACTCTCATACCACGCTTAATGCATTTCTATTAAATCATCATGGCACACAGACATCAAGTACAACATATGGCAGAAACACATTTGGTGTCTGAAAGGGTTAATGAGAATTAACTCCTTGAACAATTTTTTTGTGCTTAGCTCCATGCTGATAGTATAAAAAAAGTGCACAAAACCTTTCCCAAATATGTTTAAAAGTAAAACCAAACACTGCAAGTTAAATTTCAAAACACTATGAAACATCTTAGACAAGACAGTACCCATATTATGGATATGTTAGCATGAAATTAAAAGTTAATATTCCTATTAAATTTGCATTTCCAATTGCATCAACAGTGTGACATCTACAGTGCCTATTTACAAGAGTGCAAATTTCACATAGCTTTTAAGTACTCTCAGAGGAGATAATCATAGACATTTTCAAGCAGAACAGCACAAAAAACCTTCTACACTATATGTTAAAAAACTAGTTTACTCCTCTGTTAATGATTACCTTACAGTTTTTCAAATAAATCCTTTACACTGCACTATATTACATTTTACTGGTACCTCTATGGCACCACTTTTGTTCTAGAAGGAACTACGGGAAGGACTGCAAAGAAGGACTGCAAAGCTGATTTCATTATTTAGGGTAATAAAGTAATACACAAACTACACTTTAAATACCGGAAAAATCCCAACACCTTTTTTGTTTTTTTGCCCAGAACATTTCATAGGACAGTAAACATGTGTAAACTTTTGGTGACCCCAGATATTTCAGCAATATGTTTTCATAAACTTGTAATAGCACTTATGTTTAGGTGTTTGAGAAGTAATCATATTACAGTTTTTTCTTCAAAGGTAGTATCTGGCAAATTCAAGACTCAGTTCTGCAAATATTAAGAACCAGATCTGAAGCGAAATCCTACAAGGCTTAGTGACAGGCTTAGCATTTTGCACACACACAGTTCCACTTAGCATAAATCTTTGCAGAACCTGGATCACAGAGGATGTTAACCAAGTTATTTTATTGATGTGAGCCCCTGTACCTATGGGAATCTACAACACATGCATATAGACAAAAAGGGAAGAAAAATTTTTTTGAGAATTAAGTGATGTCAACACATTCGTATTCAAAATATGAATAAGTAAAATGAAAATCGATGAAAAAGAAGAGCTAGCATCCACTGAAAAGGCTGATGAGATTCTTAAGAGCTACAGTATTGTCAAGACTGAGAAGGACATGGGCTGGGATAGAAAAGGGACCAAAATATGAGATATGAAAACATAATGAAATAAACTGAGTTATGTTATTTTAGTATTTAAAAAAGAACACTAACACTGAAGTGACTGCAGTCAGAAAAGCCCTGTTGGAGTGCTGGTAGCTGTGAACTTACACACCCAAGAGAGGGCCTGGGACATCTTGTCTGCCCTAGTGTGAAGTCCGTCATGACATGAGGATGTTTTCTTGCTACATAACTACACCTAACTGTATAGACAGTTATAAAGAAAGGTTAAAAGTAACATTAGCAATACAGACACATGAAGTGAGTTACTAGTTTCCTGAGGCCTCATCTAAAAGGCTCCAGATTAAAAAAAAATAATAACCAGTTGCCCTAAAAGCAAGCTGAAAATTGTTCTGAATTTTTTTCTGTATAATCATTTTATGAAAATAAACAAAGAAAAGAAAAGAAAAAGTGAGACTAACTCGTCACCATTTGCTACTAAGCAGTTTACAGAATAAAAAGCTTTGTCACAAAAAACCAGAATCCACATATCTGGAAAAGGTAAAAAGTAAGGATAGCGATCAAATGAAGCTAAACCAATCATCTCCATTCCAGTTTGGCGTTGACCTTGCAAATACCAAGCGCTCCATACCTCTGAGTAGCTGCCTCAGAGCACCATTACCAACAGCTTCCTAACCTCGGCTTACGTGTCGAACTGCAGAATCTTTAGGAAAAATACTCTTTCTGCAAAATCTTCATATCAATTCAATCTGTGCAGTTAGGCTTTAGTAAGACCATTTGTAACTTGTTCCTCTTTTCTCCATCCTCTTTAATCAGATTTCATTACCAAACTACCAAGTGGTGCGTTATTTAAGAATTTTCATTCCTTCTTCCCTTAAAAGATGGAAAAAAACCAGATTTTTTTAAATTTTTTTTTTCCTAGCAAAAAGGAGAAAATCTTTCAGTGCTGTCTTCAGGCTGATTTGTCCCTTGTCACTTTTACAGGCTGCACATAAAGCTTCACAAACACTTAGGTGATAAGGTTCCACTGCTAACATGGGTTTCCTTGTTTAAAATGTTTGATATTTCTGTGGCTGAAACTCACTGGTAAAATGAAAATAGTAATATTATCCTGTATATTAAGTGGGTTCCACAACAAGTTCAACTAGGACGTAGACATTACAGAAAAGCTATTATATTAATAAAAAAGAACAAACATGTGGGCCAGAGATAACAAAGCACATTTCCAGTATGGCTGATTTCTCTGCAGTGTGCTGGTGAAGACACTCTGTTAAATTACTGAATATTAAAAACCTGTGATATGCTGATTGCTTTGCCACTTTAAGACTATTGTCAGTTTGAAAGTTGTTTTCACTGTTCCTCAAAGCCCATCTGAATAGCCCCATACAGAAACCCACGAAAGCTTGCTTTAAGCAGCTTTCAAAACCAAGGAAAATGTACAGTTTGGAGAAGAAGGATGAGACTGTTTCAAATATATCCAACATTTTTATGATACTGCTACTGCTTTCCTGGAAACATGATTCTTCCTCTCTCACATCTGCCATTATATGTCCTCACATATGTGGCTTAACTTTACTGTGACCTTCAGAAGCTATTTTATAAAGAACTGTTAATAAATATTTTCTATTGAACTCTACATTTAAAATTGCATTATATGTTGGGCAGCTATGACTGTGAAAAAGATCAAGCTGAACCTGAAACAACATTGTACTTGCAAGGAATAAAAACATTTATGAACAAGCAAAAAAATATTCTGCTAATGCTTGCATATTTTACAGTTTAGGGAAGATGAAAAACAAACTTCATATATTTAAATTAATAATAGAGCATTATTAAAAATATAGTGACAATCACTACGGAAAAACAAAACCAATACTGATATGTGACAGAAAAAGAAAGTTTCTATAAAATGATTAAGCTTAAAAGTAAATTCTTATAAAGAACAAAGGGAAAAAGCATTGCTTGCCCAGAACATTTGATAATATAAACCTTGATGAATGTGAACGGAGCTGCAGGCTACACTTTCTGTGGAATATGGATATCAGCAGAGATTAACTTTAGTTGCCAAGTATGCAGACTATAAAATAAAAGGGGAAAATTCTGTCACTAAAGCAACATAAAATTCTGAATATTGAGAAGCTTGCACCAGCTCACTGGGTTCAGCTACATGACTAGAAGCTTACTGAACATGCAAACCCATAAACTACTGCTGGAATGTAACAGATTTGGTGAAATAAGAACAGCCGCTGGGAAGAAAATATGAAGAACAAATGTTCTCAAACTACAGATGTCTCCAAACCTTATAACACTTCTCAACAGGAAATAAAAATCAAAAGCCGCTACTAATAAACTTAATTAAGGCCCAACAACAATCCAAGAGAAACTACTTACATCTCTAAGAAAAAGAATGACAAAAAAACCCTAGCAGAAAAAGCGCAATTATTCTTTTAACCACTAGCAATATATATTTGGTCATCTCAGAACAACATCCTTACATTTACATAGAGAAATCCACTTGGACCTCACACAGAAATCCAAACTGAAAACAGGCAATGCATGAACCTGTCTTCCTTAATATATTTTAAAAGGACGCTGATGTAAAAAGCTGTGCTTATCTACATTTAATTATATAATTCTAAAGAAGAAGTGAACAAAAGATTGTGACTATGTTGTGTGAATTTAAATCCAAATATATTCATGCAAGTAGAAAGTTAATTTCTCAAATTCAGAGAAATTACACTAACAGGAAATATTATAATTTAAATTCACCTACGTTTCATAAATTCACCAGTAAGGCTCCAGAATGCTATAAAGCACTTACACATACTTTTGTTCATTTTCATTCATTAAAACAAGTGCTTAAATATGTGTTTAAATTATGTATATTATTCACTGAACTGAGTCTAATCTTACACAATTTAGAGTGAACAAATGCTGTTTAATTGTAAATGCATGTACAAGTACTTTTTGTATTCATATTACTGACAAAACTAAGTTTGGAACCATGCTCATTATCTAGGTTTGTATGAACACGGTATTTTTACTAGATATTTCTGGATATTTTTTTTCCCCCCAAATATTGGGATTTTTTATACTGGCTCGTATACCGAGTATTTCTATTGTTACACAGGAACTGCACAAACACAGAGCAGACTTCTTACTCTGCTTGCTTCTGGACTGATTCCCAGCTTGCACATTTAGACAGGGTTAATAAAAACTCAGATTATGTCTGGATTTTTAAGACAAAATTGAGAATAGTAAACAGATGATATTCATCTATATTTACTGTATGTTCATAAAGGTTCAAGTAATGTAACTAGAATTTAAGCTTGGCAAAGGCAAACTCCTAACGTTCTCCCCAGCAATTCCTCAGGAAATTACTGCAGAAACATACATTACTGTACTGTGACTTAAATATTAGAATTTGGTGAAAAATCATTAAATTTATC